GTGCTTTATGCAAAACCACTTTTCTCTTTTCCTTGTTGCAGCTGGGAATATATGAATTCCAAATGGAAAGGGTTGTGAAAAATTGTGCATTATCACAATGAAAAAGAAGTGGTGGCGTTTCTGTAGGAACACTTCTTATTATTCACAGTCACTTTGGCATTTTGCAGGAAGCATAAAGGAGTAGAAATGTGTATAAACGATAAAGTGTAGTTCCACCACACTGTATTTAAATCAAAACTAACTATTTACAAAGAAGCTTCTATTATCCTCTACAGGCATCTGGAAATTGGTTCAAATGCATGTAATTAATGAGCTCTGCACTGCTCATACAGGTTATATTCAGTGTTGTTCCTATAGCTTGAGACGTTTTCAGCAGCGTTTTTTCCTTCCTTTTTTTAAAAAAAAGGCAATATAATAGACTCATGTGGTGTATGCAAGAAATGGGACAAAACGCCACAGTCATTCCATATGTGTTACTTAGTCATTAAGCATGTTGAGCATCTTTGTGTAGAAATAATAACAACGTTCCCTATTTTAGAGGTATGGGGTATTTTTTATGTTAATAAAAGTATTTCAGAGCTTTTTATGTTAATAGAAGCCCTTTGAAGTTTTTTTGTAAACAACAACAACAACAACAACAACTGCAACAACTTAGATTCCCCTTAGCAGCTTCTAGGAGGTATGTAAGGCAGTTTTATCATGCTTCCTAAGACCTGTTTTAGATTCAGGTTATTTTGTGTCAAAAGCATTGCATAAAATGTTGTATAGCAATGCTTTTGGGTTAGAAAGATTATCCATTTACAAGAAATGTTGCCCAGGGGACGCCCGACTGTATTTACTCAGTCTTCAAGGAGGCTCTTTCCATGTCCTCCTTACATCCAGGTGAGGCTTCCTTTTAAAGCAGGAGGTAAATAAGATATTTACAACTTTATTTTTTAAAAAGGCCTGTCCTGGACCCAGAGGTATCACAAATACACTAAAATTGCCCACCCCTTATGGGATGGATTGGGGTCATTTTGAATAAAAGCAACAACAAAAAATAGGATGTACATGGCTCTTCAAACAGGCCTTTGACCTAGATTATATTGAGGGCCTAACTCAGTGGTTCTCAACCTTCGTAATGCCATGACCCCTTAATACAGTTCCTTATGTTGTGGTGACCCCCAACCATGAAAATATTTTCATTTCTATTTCTTAACTGTAACTTTGCTACTGTTGTGAATTGTAATGTAAATATCTGATATGCAGTACGTATTTTCATTCACTGGACCAAATTTGGCAATAATACCTGATATGCCCAAATTAGAATACTCGTGGGGTTGGGGGTGGGGGTTGATGTTGTCATTTGGGAGTTGTAGTTGCTGGGATTTATAGTTCACTTACAGCAAAGAGCATTCTGACCTCCACCAACGATGGAATTGAACCAAACTCCCATGATTAACAGAAAATACTGGAAGGGTTTGGTTGGTATTGAGTTTGAAGTTGCAGTTTAAATACATCCAGAGAGCACTATGGACTCAAACAATGTTGGCACAAATACTCAATATGTCCAAATGTGAACACTGGTGGAGTTTGGGAAAAATAGACCTTGACATTTGGAAGTGGTAGTTCTGGGATTTATTGTTCACTTTCAATCAAAGAGCATTCTTCACCCCACCAAAAATAGAATTGGACCAAACTTTCCACACAAAACCCACATGAGCAACAGAAAATATTGTGTTTTCTGATGTTCTTTGGTGACCCCTCTGACATTCCCTCATGGCCCCCACCCAAGGGGTCCTGAGCCCGAGGCTGAGAAACACTGAACTAGTTGATTATTTCTCCTTGCACTTACAGACTGCTATTGATTCCAATTTATTTTATATTTTCTGCTACTGTTGCATTTTAGTGATTTTTAATTAGTGGAGTTTTTTGTGTTATGCTGTTGTTACTATTACAGTTTACCTGTCTAAACGTATTCTCCACTATGAACCATCAAGGTTGTTAAGATCTTCTGGAGAGGCCCTGCTCTTGGTCCCACCACTTTCACAGTCATGTCTGGTGGGAACGAAAGACAGAGCCTTTTCTGTGGTGGCTCCCCAGCTATGAAACTCTCTCCCAAATGAAATTATATCTGCCCCCTCCCTCCTGACCTTTAGGAAGTTAATGAAATCCTGGCTGTGGAACGAGGCATTTGCAGAATGATGGCTGAGACCAGTAATTGACCAAAGTTATCGACCACAATATGCAAACTGAGTTGGACATGATTTTATCTTGGCGAATGGCTTATATGTATTTTTAATTCATTGTTGATGTATGTTTAGATTTTATTGTTAGCACTGAATCCTTGGTGTTAGCCGGTCTGAGTCGCTCTACGGAGGTAGAGATCGGGAAATAAAAGTTTTAAATAATAATAATAATAATAATAATAATAATAATAGTTATTGTAATATTGTTTAGACACATTGTATTTTGTGTGTTGCACCTTGAGTGCTTTTTTGAGCCGCCCTGGTGGTGAGGTACAAACAAAGTTTTATTATTATTACTTTCCTTCCCCTCATGTTGGAGGCATAAGTAGAGTTATCTTATGTTGTTTTTATTTTTATACTTGTAAATAATCCCCAAGATATTGTTCTTTTGATGGTATAAAGGATTTTCATGAAGATTTGCTATTTTTAATTTCCTTCTTTTAAAGATTTTTTCCCTTTATTAAAAAAATCTAAGAAAGCATTTAAAGGCTGAAATTATGTCAAACTGAGTTATATGGAGCTTGCCCATCAGTAATCTTCACTGCTAAGGGTATAGATTATCTGTAATATGTTATTGTTTCTATAAGCCTTCTGCCCTTATATCGAATGCATGATGTTTCTGGTGTTTGCTTCCACTCTGTAATAAGGTTGCTATGGCAAAGCTATTACTCCAGCAAAGGGAAGTGCTGATCCCTTTTCAGCTTTACGTGAGCCTCTGATTACCCAAATGATCAAGTTTGTGCTGCAAGTGTGGCTATCACAATGTGAAGCAAACGGATGAAGCTGACATGAGTGGGCCTGCTATTATTTCCCCAGCAGACACATTTGATAAAACAGTACAGCCGCTGAAATTATCTCACCCTGAGTCCAGGAAATTTGCTGTCTTGTTTGGTTGTTGTTGGGTTGCTTTGGTCCAGTAAGCCAATCTTTTTATGTTGTGACCAGAAATTTGGTTTATGTCTGTCTGACTGTCTGTCAAGCATATTGGCTACTCACAGTCAGGAGAGAGGAATTATTTTTAAAAAACAACAACAAAAAAGAGGTTATATTATTGTGTTTAATGTACTGTGATGATAATGTCAACTGTTTCCAGTGCAAGACATAAACTCAGGGCTTGTCAAATGTAATATCTGAAATCACTGCTAAATAACATGTATTTCTTGTGGGCTTTGTAGAGAAAAACAGAGTTGTAGCAAATTGCCAGCAGATCTTGGACCCCATCCCTTTAGTAGTTTAGACTAGACTGATCATGCAGTTTGGGTAATTGTAATACTGTAGTCCAAAACCTTACTTTTTCCATAATCTCTTTCTCCCTCTCTGTGTGAATATGTATCTTATACAACTGATTTTTTAAAAAATTGAAGGTGACAAAGATATAATGTACAAAACAACCCACAATAAGAGGTTAAAATGCATAGAAGTCCAGGATGGCATCTCATTAGTTTACTTATTCAGATAAGTAATAGTTAAGAGTTTCAGTGAAAAGGACTCTGGTTGAGTGGTTTAATATATTATTTCATTGTTTAGCATATGATTGAGGCAGAGGGTCAGGAGAGAGGAATTATTTAAAAAAACAAAACAAGACAAAAGGTTATATGGAATGACCATGGGAAGGGGGGGGGGGGGCTCTCACAGTACAAGGGAGAGACCTTGAGACCTCTGGACATTGTAAAGACAGAAAGAGATGTCAAGCTCCACCATGAGCTGTATACATACATGCACTAGAGTCTTTCCAGAAGTCCACTTGACTACTCGGTGGTTGAAGCTGCCATGGGTTTTTGTTGACATAATCAGTTAAAAACAATAACTCCTCATGAGATGTATTTTCTTATTTGTGTTCATTGCAGGCCATTCTATAATAAATATTCCCTCCCCCCTAATAGCCAAGTGTCCCATATTCTCTTCCAATTATCTCACTTAGGATCCTCCAATTTCTACCATTTGGCTAGCTTAAGATTCCCTGAATGGCAATATTTGGCAGTTGTCAGAAAGAAAGCAATTACTCCCCTGTGTTTTAACTAATTGCTGTTATTAAGGTAAATGAAAAGTGACAAAAGCACCAGACAGAGCTGGATAGTTTATTGTGCTACTTTGAAATGTGATTGGTAATTATTACATTCCAAAAACACTTTAACTTGAGACCATGTATGCTTCCTATGACTATAGAAATCTATATCCTTGCAACCCTTCCAGTATCTTGGTAGAACATTACCATTCTAGATACCACTTATGAATTCTCTTGAGAAACCCTGTGCTGTAGCTAAACATGATATAAAGTGGTGCGGGGAATGGGCAAATGCACTACCAATCAGAGGCAGGGAATTCAATCCCTAGATTTGGCAACCATATTATTTTTAATGAATTGGCCCTTCCCTTGTGTGTTTTCCAACAGAGTCTTGTAGATAGATGAGCACATTTGAGATTTGTTATCTTTATGGAGTTCTTCATAAAAAGATTACAGACTTTTCCCTACTGACACTGAAAGCTGAAAAAGGCAACCTGACACCTTTGAAACCAGCAAGGCCTGATAGTGGTGCTATCAGGTTTTCTGCAGTCATAGGTTTCCCCTTTATGAATAAATCTCTAATATGATAGATTCCACCCCTTTTTGCATTCTTACAATCGCATAAATGTCAGTTGTTTGAAATCATGGGTGTAGAATAAAAGGCATTAGAGGTGTAGGTTTAATAGTTAGCACGTGAACCCATTGTTTGACCATTGACTATGAATAAAAGCTTGACCTTGATTAACTACATACAATTCTTCTTACAGGAAAATGTGAATGTGGCCAGTGCACTTGTTTTCCTCCAGGAGAGTCCAAAATATATGGGAAAATCTGTGAGTGTGATGATCGACAGTGTGAGGACATTGATGGGAATGTCTGTAGTGGTAAGTTATCCCTAAAATTAATGAGGGGTGAGCAATATTTTCTGTCTCTGTGTGTTTGTCTCTTAGATCCACTCCCTTAATTCCACCAGAAGCTGCACTGTGCTCCCACACGGACAAAATATTTGGTCAGAGTTTAAAGTTTATATATAGTAATAATAATAAATAATAAAAATTATTAATTCCCCGCCACCATTTCCCAGAGAGACTCAGGGTGACTCACAAAACACTCAAAGGTGCAAACAAAGCAACAACAACCAACATAAACATCACCCCCCCCCCCAATTAAGATCAATAAAATGCAACAATAGCTTCAGAATACAAAACAAACTGCAATCAATATCAGTCTCATAAAGTGCACAGTGAAAAACTTATAGGTCCTCAAATTTCTAGACATGGTCATGAAGCCATGTCTTCAGTTGTATACAGAAGGTTTGGAGAGTGGAAACTAACCTAATATCCCCCAGGAGGTCATTCCAAAGCTGGGGAGTCACCACTGAGAAGGCCCTCTCTTTTGTCCCCACCAACTGCAGTTGAGACGGAGATGGACCTGAGAGGAAGTCCTCCCCAGTAGATCTTAATGCCCACACCGGTTCATAGAAGGAGATGCGATCTCAAAGATTGGTTGGACCCAAAGCATATAGGGCTTTATAAGTGATAACCTGCACTTTGAACTGGGCCCAGAAACTCATCAGCAGCCAATGTTAATTATTTGATCTATACAGTGAGTTTTATCACAAAGAATCTCAATTCTTAAACTTATTCGTGAAGCATACCTATATTTTACCATTAGGTCTGAAATATGCCAATGACTCAATTCAGGACTGTAGAATTTTGAAGGCAGAAACATCCATGGCAGTGAAGAACACTTGTTATAAACTAGATTAATATTAGCAAGCTACATTTAGGCTGCCAGCAACCAGATTAATTAGAACACTTTGAGGTGTACGAGATTTCTTCTGGTGCCTCTGGATTGAATATGTCAGAGAACTAGAAACTTTGGTTTAATTTCTCCTGTAGAGGATGAAGGCCCAAAGCACTTTAGAAAACAGAATATGTTACAGCTAGCAGGATTTTAGGGAAAGTTGGGGATTTTGTCTCAAGACAGATGCCAACTGAAATTAGAGGGAAATAGTTGAAGCAGTGATCTGACTAAGAATTGTCACCTGGCTTCCTCATGCAGCTGATATTGATTAATAGCTTCCTTTTTTTCACTGTAGGCCAGGTAAATATAAGGAGAAAAGTGTGATAGATTAAGCCTTAAAGAGCTGTGATCTTGTATGGTCCTAGTGACTTGAAATTGGAGCTGTCCATCATCTGCACAGGAAAGGAATGGGCTATTCTCAGCAAAATGCTTTGCCTAGCTCCACTGAAAAGTGAAACTAGGTCAAGCCTTAAATACATTGTTCAATTCTGATCCTACCTATATGCACAATAATTGATTGCAATGAAACTTTTCTCCTAAGAAAGGTGCTTAAGGTTACAGACCCACACACATCCTTGTCCATGCTCTATTGAGCATGGTTAGGATTTTTTAATCAGTTTTATGTCTGAACTCTTTTAAAAGGAAATCAGTGAAACATCCATCTTCAGTTTGTAGAGATTTCAGCTAGTACCGTGGATAAGAAGGTCAGTGCCTGGTGAGCTTCTGCTAAACCAGATCAGCCCTGATTGAGAACAAGAGCAAAGCTACAAAGGTTTATTAGAGGCTGAAGGCAAAGTTACAGAGGTTTATTATGTAATAATAATAATAATAATACCTGCCTCTCCTCACTGCTCGATGCTGGTTACAATATTGCGAAACACATAATCATTTGAAACACTCAGATTGGTCAAAATAGGATGCAAGTACAAGAAATGTGCTTCAAAAGGTACAAGCACAAATTCACAAAGAAAATACATGGCATTTTATTCGGTTCTGATAGCTATTCAGACTTTCTGCTCCCTCCCCTGATTGGCTGAAAAAGAAGGTAAGCTAGGATCCACACCGGGATTGGTTGGGATCTCCTTGATGTCACAGCCTACAGGAGGATATTCCTGTGGCAGGAAAAAAGACCACTGGTGGCTAATCACCTTGAAGAATCAATCCATTGCAGGGACATCCCTGGGGGAGGGCACAAACCTGGAGGAAATGATGATGTGGGCATCCAAATGAATCTTTGATTAACCCAAGCATCCAGTTCCATGTGAGACAAAGGGTGCCAGACTCAAGAAACAAAGGTGAAAATTTTAGACCATCAGGGGCTTGATTGCCCATTTGGAAAGTTAATGAATTCATGTTTGCTGGGACCCCTCTTCCCTGAGAGCAGCATACTCTCAGCCTCAAGTTAAATGGACAAACATCCTGAGCTCATCTTGGTGACAAAGAGGATAATCTGTCGGCATATACACAAACACATACAAAGATTTTGATATATATCTGGCTTCAGAAATAGCTGGAGGGACTCTGGCAGTGATCTCCTTTCACGGGGGATTATGCAGACTGGGGGCACAGAGAGGTAGCTGCTTTCTTGATGCATTTGATACAGTTTATACATTTTTAGAATTGACACAATACATAAATGATACAATTACACATAAATTGTCAAGTTGATACATTTATTAAAGGGATAGATCTGATAGAGTTGGTAGGGTACAGCTGCGGCTAGGTTCATCCTGGAACCTCTAGTGGCTTCAACATTTTGTAACTTTGGAGCCACAGGAGAAAAAATAAAGAAAATATATATATCTTGCTTGGAGTCTCTTTAATGTTATGGCTTGACAACAATTTGAATGAAAATCTCCTAGTAGAAGATAGGAAAAAATATACTAGAACTTTTTTCAATATATGAAAAAAGTGCATTTTCCCTTTTTTCACATATTGTATAAACACATGAGCTGTATCTGAATCTTTTTTTTTAAGTCTATCTGTTTCAATTTTTGTAAGCCACTTTGAGTTCAGAGCTGAGTAAAAGTGGGGTACAAATAATGTCTAGAGTATGTATTAAGATTACAGAGTCATAACTTAGTCTTGGATCCATACATACCTGCTCGGTATTCATTAACATTATATTGTCATGACTGTGACATTATTGCTATGATCATAAACGTCCTCCCAAACCTACTTCACCTATCATCAATTGGATAGGACAAAGGAAGACTACTCATCTGGCAGTTGGGGTGATTGAGGATGACATTTCCACTCCCTTCCTACCAGTGAGCAAGGCTGAGACAAGGAATTGTGCCAAGAGTCCTGCTTTTGATTGTCATCCACTGGTGGTAGGGGGAAATGACATCATTTTCAACAGCTATTAACCAGTAGTCCTGCCAGTAATCCATATGTTTCATCTTGACTAAGTTTTTAAACATAACTTAAGATGTTCTAAAGTTTCATCTTCAGAATTTGAGGTGATAGATGTCATACTGTTTGCCCAGTTGTGGTCCGAGAAGAATCAAATTGACTAAAACAAATATGTAGTCTATTAAAATGAAATGGAGGAGCATTACTGGGAGGTTAAAGAACAGACAATGCAAAGTCAGTAAAATCAAGTGTGAATAGTATCTTAGTTTTACAGTTTAGTCAAGAAAATGTCTTCTGCCTATTATTCAACATTTAGTTTGCTGAAACTGTCTAAAATCTGAGCATGTCAAGAATTTGCTTGAGAATCTCTACTCCCTGAAAAATGCTTGTGTTAAGAACCTGTAAAAGCAAATATTCAACAGCTGTAGCTTCATTGTTCATAGTGATGCAAAAATTGCACTTGCTAGATGTTACCTCACCCCAGGACTCCAAATATGAGATGAATTCTTTCCGAAGTGGATTGTGCCAAGTTTGCAATTACTTGCATGCAATCCCACCACCATTTTTATTTGGCCCAAGTACACTCTTGGAGATCAAAATTTGGGCCAATCTCTATCATGTGGATAACAATGTATTTTCTTGACAAGTAGACATCTCATCTGGACCCTAAGCCCTACTTGATCACAAAAATCACCAGGTAGGAATCTAAAATATTTTTCTCCCTGTTACAGAAATTTTTCAGGGAAAGCTTTCCCCATAATTTCATTTCCAATAAAGGAAATGTTTTGCTGTGATACTCTTCTAGCAGTTACAAATATACAGGTACATTATTTTTTCAGGGATGGATAGAGGATGAACAGGCGGAGGCAGGAACTGGCAACCAAATATTGGGCAAACTGAAGTCTCTTCACCTAAACTGCCTCTTATTCTTGTTGTGAGTGGGCAATGGATATAGATGATTCTGCCTGACAGAATGGAGGAAGAAAAACACTCTCAAAATAGGTCACCTTGCTGCTTTTTCAACTTTCATTCTAGGTCATGGGATCTGCTCTTGTGGCCGATGCATTTGTAAGGATGGATGGTTTGGAAAGTTGTGCCAACATTCAAGGAAGTGCAACATGACTGAAGAGGAGAGCAGAAGTTTTTGCGAATCAGCGGATGGTGTATTATGCTCAGGAAAGGGTAAGTGTAGGGAACTGATTGATGCTGAGTATGAGGAGATTAAAAAGAACAACCTGTGGGTTATAAATTGCAGTGCTTTCTTTTTTAAGTCCCTTGCTGTTAAACAGCTTCTCAGAATAGCTTAACAATACACAGAACTCTTGTCAAGAAGTTCTTCATGTTGTCTTTAGACGCTATGCTTTGCTTTCAGGCACCGTTTACCAACAGCAGGCAATTCCACTTGGAGGTGTTCTTGTGGGAGTATAGTTTATATGGGGCCTTTGAGTATCAGGGAATACATTTTGACGTTATGTACCAAGTGCTACAAACTGCAGGCATGTGTACATTTGTTAAATCTTTGTGAAGGAAATACACTAATTCATCTGAGTGGGAAGGCACTTTTTCTGCCTCCTTCCTCCCCTCCCCACATTCACTTAATTCTGCAGTTATTTTGCTTATAAACTTTATTTTGTATCCAATCCTATCACTGCAGGGCTGGTGCCCTGGGCATGTGTGCTTGATATTTTGCACCCTTTTTTTCCATCTCCAATTAAGGTTCTAGTGATATGTGTGCATTTGTCATCATGAATAGGGTGGAGCCCCTGGTGGCGCAGTGGGTTAAACCCCTGTGCCGGCAGGACTGAAGACCTACAGGTCGCAGGTTCGAATCTGGGGAGAGCATGAATGAGCTCCCTTTATCAGCTCCAGCTTCTCATGCATGGACATGAGAGAAGCCTCCCACAAGGATGATAAAACATCAAAACATCTGGGCGTCCCTTGGGCAACGTCCTTGCAGACAGCCAATTTTCTCACACCAGAAGTGACTTGCAGTTTCTCAAGTCACTCCTGACACGACAAAATAATGTTAAACCAGTATGTTTGTGCATGGATACATACAAGAAGAAGTTTCATGGCAAAGTTTTGCCAGAGACTGCAATGAAAGTGGGAGGTACAAGCAGGTTCCTGCTTGTTATCAAAATCCCTTTAAAACATATGTCCTTCTGGTTTCAAGGAGTCTACTCCAAGCATCACTACATTTTGTCTGGATTCAATCCAGTCTGTGTAAAACTTCAAAAACCCCTGAGTTTGGCCCAAGTTTTGTTTCTAGACTTAGCTACTGTGTACTCAGCTGAACTGCTGAATATAGAAAAAAGAACATTCCTGCAAAGTGTTGAGTGAGGAAAATTAAACAAGCCCTTCACTATTTTAGCCAACTCCAATTTCCAATTCTACCAGTGGAATGTTGTATTACGTTTAGACATGTATTCAATCAATTTCCTGTCTAAATCTGTTTGTTGAGTATTTCTCTTTGTAATATATGTCCCAATATATTTTAAAGTGTTGGCTGGCATCCATATAGCAGTTATGGATTCATGACATAGAGGTATGGATCCATAACTGATCTGTATTCAGTGATATGTGGTATTCACAATCATGGCACATCTGTGACACTACTCAGTTATACTACATAGCCACAGCACCTCATCACATGGAGAAAATTCCCCATCATAGAACACTTTGCCCATGCAGCTGGTATGGAGCTTTCTGATCCCATCACATAACACATAATTACTTCCAGTGGGGCTCCATGCCTTCTGCATTGGTAAAATATTTTACAAGGGGGAATTTTGAACATGAGAGACTACATGTGTTCAGATACAAAATCATGGGGACAGTATGGAGCATGTCAGAAAGGTACTCTGTCTGGCATGTAATAGGAAAGTAGATGACATGGGTGATGCAGGGCACTAGGCAACAGATTCTCCCCGCTGCCCCTATGATTTGCCCTGCTGCACTACAGCCCTCCCCCCTGTCCCCCACATCAAGGACTTCCATGTGATGAGATCCATGATTATAAATGTTTCCTGAAGTTCACCTTAATTCCACCTCCAGGCAGCTTCTCTAACTGATGTAAATCTGGTTGAGGCTGTGACAAATCAAAGTAGGACCCTTACCACAACCTCACTTACTGGTGAAAGAGGGCTAGAGGGCTAGAGATGTTATCTTTTTGAACTTCATTGTTCAGAGCACCTGTTGGCTGTTAAAGTTCATTTAAAAGGATTGCCCCATGGGACAGTGCTTAATTACACATTCATAACTATGTTTTAATAAATACAGATCTATGAACAAATTATAAGCTGTTGTAAAATGCCCTCCGTACTCTATGCAGCTATAGTCCATCAACTCCCTCTAGTCTCCTAAAAATGAGATGTTGAGGTTTGTGGAACTTTGCCTACATGAAATGGAATTCTTGAAAATCAGGTAGAGACACTTTCAGTGATCAGAGACCTTCCACCCCCCAGAAAGTGGATCACACACAGAGAGAAAGACAGATAGACAGAAATAAACATGCATACAGACAGATTGTGCTTTTGCTGGAGAAGCATACTACATATTTCCACATTGGTGAATAAATATTAAGATCAAGTAGTTAAAAGAGTCCGATTTTTCATGTTAAATGTTCCTAATATGTTTTCTAACATTTGGAAGCTATTGCTACAACATAGCTTCTTGCTATGGTTTCAAACTTTTGAGTGCAAGATGTATTTTTAAAGGATTGATGTTGTAACTATGGTTCCTAGTGGTGATGGTGTTGTGGTCAAATAGATAATCAGCGACATAAGAACTTCAACCATGTGTGTTGAGGAACCTGATGGCAGTTGATAGATTTCAGTCTAGCTTGGGTTGGTCAAAGTACAAAACTACTCATTAAGCAGCAGAGAGGCAAATGGGATCAAGAGATTCCAAGATCCAGCCTCTTGGTGTAATGAAGATTAACTGAAATAAACCAGTAACAGTGATTTAGGACTTCAACCCATGGCTTTAGGGCTCTGTTTCCATGCACTTTGGGAATGAAGTCCCAGGGTAATCCAATGGAGGCCATCACATGTGTAAGGGCAATTCCAGTGGGATCCTGTGGGGTTCCATTTCTGCAGCACATGAAAATGGAGTCCTAAAGCCATAACAAGAACAACAACAATAATAATAACAACAACTTTATTCTTCTATCCCACCACCATCTCCCTGAAGGAACTTGGGGCAGAAAGTGCCTAAAACAAACATAAAAATGAAACACAATATAAAATACAATAAAATAAAACACAAACACATATAAAAACATCAACTCAATCTCAATAAAACTGAAATCATCACCTGTTGGTGGTAAGCTGCTGTAAACATGGCCATGCTGTAAACAATAGGAATGGAATAAGTTCAATCCACAACAATAGAGAGAAAGCATACTGCACAGAAGAACTAGGCACTAAGCACTCTCAATAGCTTATTTGAAAAGCCACATCAAAATCCCTACAAAAGAGGACAGTGTGGATGCCTGCCTGGTGTGACCTGACTCCAAATGGCAGAAAGTGGGAAAGGATGGCCTCATCACAGAAAGGTTGGCCATCCCAGAAGAGGGAGAAAGATGGAACGGAATGGGTAAGATAATTCCCTCCGCTTTCCCCTGCTTTCCTACTGCTCATGGGATGAGGTCCTTAATGAAACAAAGGGAAAAAATCACTGTTCTATTCATTTCCCAGATTTTACTCTGCCTCTCGGCCTAGTTTGACAGGCCTCCAGGCCTCCAAGTCAGCAGTGCCCACAACACTGAAGAAAACAATATCGAGGTTCTAACAGTAGAGCTCAATAACATCACCGTCACCTCTGTGTACAAGCCCCCAAATGAAGAGTTCTGCTTCTCCTCCCCCGAGAACTTTGACAGGCACCAAAGGGCGGTAGTAATTGGTGACTTCAACAGCCATAGCCACGTATGGGGCTATGCCCAAGAGGACAGAAATGGAGAGGCTGTCCTCTCCTGGTCTGAACTGCACAAACTATCACTCATCCATGATAGCAAGCTCCCACCATCCTACAACAGCAGGAGATGGCACCGAGGTTATAACCCAGACCTCTTATTTGTGAGCGACAGCATCGTACAGCAATGCACTAAATCAGTGGGACCACCAATTCCAAACACACAGCACCAACCAATAATATGCCAACTGTTCCCAGCAATAAGGCCTCAGGAAGTTTGATTTAAACGAAGATACAACTTCAGAAAGGCAGATTGGACTAAATTCTCAGACATGTTAGATGACATGATCACATCGGTCGCGCCAATCCCTGAGGAATACGAGCATTTTATTGAAATAGTGAAAACCTGCTCACGGGCCTCGATACCGAGAGGCTGCAGAACCAACTACCTTCAGGGCATTACTCCTGAAACAGCTGCCTTGTTGGAAAACTATTACAGGCTCCACAACGAAGACCCATTTAGTGAGCAGACTCTTCAGGCAGCGCAGAACATTGTGTCCTCCATCTCTGAAGCCAAGAAAGAACAGTGGATCAAGCTGATCACAGAGGTCAACATGGGCAGGAGCAGCCAGAAGGCGTGGAGGCTGCTGAGACGGCTAAGCAATGACCCCTCACAAACTAATACCCATGCCAACATAAAGGCAGACCAGATAGCACACCAACTCTTGAAGAACGGGAAACCCAACCTTGCCACCAAAGTAGGAAAGAAACCAATAGCCAGACAACAAGAGATTGAGAACAACAACCTTCATGAACCCTTTACATCTACTGAATTGGACATGGCTCTCAACAAATGTAAGAATGGCAAAGCAGCTGGCTTGGATGATCTACGGATGGAACAAATCAAGAACTTTGGTCCAAAAGCAAGGCGCTGGCTGCTGGAGTTGATGAACAACTGCACTGCATCCTGTCAGATCCCCAAAATCTGGAGGAAAGCAAGAGTCATCGCCATCTTGAAGCCAGGCAAAGACCGTAATGACCAAAAAGCTACAGACCAATCTCCCTGTTGTGCCACCTCTACAAAGTTCTGGAGAGACTTATTTTGCATAGAATTATGGAAAAAATAGACCCATGTCTGATCCCACAGCAAGCTGGCTTCAGGAAAGGCAAAAGCTGCACATCGCAAGTGCTGAACCTGACTCAGCACATAGAAGATGGCTTTGAAAGGCAGCAGATCACAGGAGCTGTCTTCATAGACTTGTCAGCAGCCTATGATACTGTGAACCACCGCCTCCTCCTGAGAAAAATGTATAATATCACAAAGGACTACCACCTCACCCGCCTCATAGGAAACCTGCTACAAAACAGGAGCTTTTTTGTTGAGTTCCAGGGCCAGAGAAGCAGATGGCGGAAACAGAAGAACGGCCTGCATCAGGGGAGCGTGCTTGCTCCATCCATGTTCAACATCTACACAAATGACCAGCCACTGCCAGAAGGGACAGAGAGTTTCATCTATGCTGATGATCGTGCCATCACCACTCAAGCAGGGAGCTTTGAGATGGTTGAACAGAAGCTCTCCGAAGCTCTAGGTGCTCTTACTGCCTATTACAGGGAAAACCAGCTGATCCCTAATCCATCTAAAACACAGACATGCGCCTTTCACCTTAAGAACAGACAAGCATCCCGAGCTCTGAAGATCACCTGGGAAGGAATCCCACTGGAGCATTGCAGCGCACCCAAATACCTGGGAGTCACTCTGGACCGTGCTCTGACCTACAAGAAGCACTGCCTGAACATCAAGCAAAAAGTGGGCGCTAGAAACAACATCATACGAAAGCTGACTGGCACAACCTGGGGATCACAACCAGACACAGTGAAGACATCTGCCCTTGCGCTATGCTACTCTGCTGCTGAGTACACATGCCCAGTGTGGAACACATCTCACCACACTAAAACAGTGGATGTGGCTCTTAATGAGACATGCCGCATTATCACAGGGTGTCTGCGCCCTACACCACTGGAGAAATTACACTGCTTAGCCGGTATTGCACCACCTGACATCCGCCGGGAAGTAGCAGCCAATAGTGAAAGGACCAAGGCAGAGACATCTCCAGCTCATCCCCTGTTTGGGTATCAGCCAGCACGTCAACGACTTAAATCAAGACATAGCTTTCTTAGATCTACAGAGACACTCGCTGGAACACCCCAGCAAGCGAGAGTCCAAAAGTGGCAGGCCCAAACCCAGCACCCCAATCCATGGGTGATACCAGCTGAGCGACTCCCCCCTGGGCACACAGAAGACTGGGCGACTTGGAAGGCACTGAACAGACTGCGCTCTGGCACCACGAGATGCAGAGCCAATCTTAAGAAATGGGGCTACAGGGTGGAATCCTCGGCATGCGAGTGCGGAGAAGAACAAACCACTGACCACCTGCTGCAATGCACCCTGAGCCCTGCCACATGCACAATGGAGGACCTTCTTGCGGCAACACCAGAGGCACTCCAAGTGGCCAGATACTGGTCAAAGGACATTTAACCAACTACCAAGTTTGCTAAATCTGTGTGGTTTTTTTCCTTTCTTTTTAATCTGTGTGGTTATTTTGTTCTGTTAGAATTGTAATACAATGGTATGGTTGCTGATGACACGATAAATAAATAAAAATAAACTCTGCCTCTCAGTCTGTGGCAGAACACTCATATTCTTAAGTGGGGAGCAAAGACACATTGTATATCAAGACAATTTGAACAAGGGGAGTCATCTTGTATGGTGCTTCACTGTGCATTGCTTTGGTTCACTGTCATGAAAATGTATCATATTAGTGATGTAATTCCATCATCATAAAATTATGCATTGTAACCTCTGATAAAGGATCTCACCCAATGTTTATAGCAACATAAATATACTACTCATAGTGATCTTTATTGTCTTTTTAATTTCCCAAACCAGTCTTTCTTCCCCTAGAGTTGTTCCTGTAAGGGCAGAAGGGAAGGAAACACAACATAAGTGAACATCTGTGGTGCTTTGCTTAGAATATCATATAGAATGTTTTCAGACTCCATTCAAAAGACTGAGAATCCATCAAATTAGAGGTAAATAAGAAAGTTGTGGAGTGAAGTGTTATACAACACATACTCCAATGTACTGGTTGCTTTTGGGAAAAACAAAAGAAGAAACAATGGGACGTTTGAGTGATGTGGTCCTTTCATTTAGCTAGAGAATCATAAAGTGCCACATGATTATTACCTCTGATGGTTTTATCCCTGCTTCAGTTCTTGCTATTGCAGTCGCCTCATGGGGGATTATCTCTCTTCTCTGCCCCATACCTGAGCTCCAAAATCCCACTTTATAATCCTGCTCAGAAAAAAGAAGGCTTGATTGTACGGCTCTGGGAACAAAGAGAAAACCTCTCTCTTCAGAGTAACTCTTGATTAAATCAAAATGGAGGAAAATCACTGCAGGTCCTTACAGAGGACACTTCAAGCAAAAGCACACCTCTATAACACCCTTCTTTTCAATGAGCTTTTATCTTGATTATCTCCTTGTAGACAATGGCTTATTAACAAGTACTGATTGTGTGTGCCTGAGACGTTCCATGGCTGACTGAAAAGCTCCACTGTTCTGTAAGTGCCAGTAATAACCTTTGTGCTTTCAGGTTCTTGCCACTGTGGAAAATGCATCTGCTCGCCACAGGAATGGTACATTACAGGAGAATTCTGTGACTGCGATGACAGAGACTGCGACAAACACGATGGCCTTATTTGCACAGGTGGAGTATAATCCCCATGCATGCCCTGGCACTTCTTTTAGAAGTGTAGAATCACAGCAATTGAATGAGATTGTCTAGGACAGACTGACACCCCCTACTGCCTCAACGGCTCGAACCATCTTCCACCCAGTGGTCCCCTGTCAATCAACATACAGTATGTACTTTAAATACTATGATGTTACAAGTAGAGAAGTGAAGCAGAAGGAAGGGCAGTGTGCAGAACAAATTGTTCCAGCTCAGCTTTTTTCAACTCAGGACCATCCAGACGTTTCAGGTTCCAACATCCATTGTCTCCAGCCACCATGGTCATTGGCTGGAGATAGTGGGCATGGTGATCTGTGTAGCACATCCAGAAAGTATCACATTAGGAAGACTTTTTTAGGCTGGTGAGAACAGACACATTTAAATTCTATTGTAGGAGAAAGTTCCCTTCTTAGGAAGTATTTGAATCAGAGTGTGAGAAGGAAAGGGCTTGATAAATGTCAAGGAGTCAAAACATCAATTTCATTTTTTAAAAAAAGCTTTCCAAAACAGAGCAGTAGCCCTGACCAAAAGGAACATTAAAGGTAAAGGTAAAGGTTTTCCCCTGACATTAAGTCCAGCCATGTCCAACTCTGGGGGGTGGTGCTCCTCTCCATTTCTAAGCCGAAGAGCCAGTGTTGTCCACATGACACCTCCAAGGTCATGTAGCCAGCATGACTGCATGGAGCGCCGTTACCTTCCCGCTGAAGTGGTACCTATTGATCTACTCACATATGCGTGTTTTCAAACTGCTAGGTTGGCAGAAGCTGGGGCTGACAGCAGAAGCTCACGACGCTCCCTGGATTCAAACTGGTGACCATTGCTGTGACATACTGTGTTTTTGTGTCAGTAAAATAATAATAATAACTTTATTTGTATTTCGCCCTATCTCCCCGAGGGGACTCAGGGTGGATTCCAACATAACAATGGCAAGCAATCAATGCCTACATAAAATACATGATACTGAAATAAAATCCCAGAAAAACCCCACATATAAAAGTAGCATTAAAACCTAACATCAAATTAAAAACCTAGCATCAGTAAATTAAACTTGACATCAATAAATTAAACTACATATCATAGAATCATAGAATCATATTGTCAAACAAAATTTTATAATAACATAAATCTTTAAAAAAACATCAATAAAGGAGTAACAGGTAGCAAGAAGACACACTTCCGCACAGTCAATATTCAAGGTGTGCCCTCAGTTTCAAATGCCACAGGGAACATCATTTTCTAATTGGGGCTTGTAATTAGAAAACATTGGCTAAGATCCTTAATGGAACTTCTGCCAACCTAGCAGTTTGAAAACATGCAAATGTGAGTAGATCAATAGGTACTGATCCAATGGGAAGGTAACAGTGCTCCATGCAGTCATGTCCTCCATATGATCTTGGAGGTATCTATGGACAATGCTTGCTCTTCGGCTTAGAAATGGAGAGGAGCAACAACCCCCAGAGTTGGACACGACTGTACTTAATGTCAGGGGAAACCTTTACCTTTACTATTCATTCCCATCATTTTTATTTCTGTGTTGCTGTAGTGAACTTTTAAAAATTCTGTTTTTCAGTGATAACCTGGTCTAAATTAATTGAGAGAAGGAAGGCTGGGACAAACAAGCTCTCCACATTAAATTAACTCCAGGAGAACATGCTAGTGTCTCTCCACCATCCTAGTTAAAGTGGTGCCAAGGCTGAAGGTGTCCATTTGCCTTTGTACCTTGGCCTCTTATACAAACACTAAAGCAGAACTGAGGCAGCAGGATGTAAACTCTGATGTCTTAATTATAACAGCAGCTATGTTTTTGATGAAAAAAAGAATTTCATTAGCTCTTTAGTGAGCCTTTTCAAGTAGAATCATAAAGCACATTCTGCCCAGGAAGAAAAAAAATGTACTGAGAAAAATAAAAGCAGTTTTACAGTGCTTTGTGACTTTTACAGAGAAACACATGTTTAATGCAGTACATTTTCAATTATGCATAATTATAGTCTGTGTTATTTTGTTCCAGGAAATGGTATATGTAGCTGTGGAAATTGTGAGTGCTGGGAAGGTTGGACTGGCAACGCTTGTGAAATTTGGCTTGGGACAGAATACTCCTAACTCTGCCATGGAACACAGAAGACTGACGGATTTCTGGTTTGGTGTTTTAGGCTTTTGGATTTCTGATTTCCCCCAACATTGGCTGCTAGAATAAATCAACTTTTAAGCAAGCACACATGTTCATCACTAGGCATAAGTCAAGGAATCTGAAATATTTGTTTTCAAATCAAATGAACTCTGCATACCTCTTTGTTGCTCTGATTCTGCTCTCAGTGTAATCAGTGGGAGTAGAATGAGAACATTTAGCATATAATACAATAGATCTTCAAGAGGGCCACAATTAGTGTTTGCTGGAAATTGCACAGTTGAGATGCATTGTATGAGGTACTCAGATTACTGAATTTCAATTGTACAATAAGAATTGTATATGTATGACAGAGTCATGCTGGTTTTGAAGTATGCGAAAAGCCTGTAGAAGGAAGTGAGGGATGATCACTATGGTCCTGGTAGTCCCTCTCTCCTTTTCAGTTTCTCCTTTCCTTCCATCCCACAAGCTTCCCTGTAGATAGATGTCTTTCTTGCCTCGTCATCCCAGTTTCCTCTACTTGCAATGAAGATGTTGCAAGAATAGGGAAGAATTGAACATGAAATGGGAACATGTAACGGAATCTGTTCCACACAGTGGTGTTGCCCCATGTCACAGGATTATGGCTGTGCTGAAACTACCTGCTTTGTGTTGTGTATATTGAAAAATACATCTCATCACCATGATTTAGGCACAAGTGAAAAACAGATCTGCATTATTACAGTGATATCTGTTCTGTACCATTTTCTTCTTTCTTCATAATGGTTTATCCATACTACAGTTTAATCAGGGGCGGCTCAACCCATTACGCAAAGTAAGCATTCGTGGTATAGTTGATTTTGCCCAGGGGCGCTCTTGAGGCGACTTGGGGGAAAATAGACCTTGACATATGCGAGTTGTAGTTACTGGGATGTATAGTTCACCTACAATCAAAGAGCATTCTGAACTCCACCAATGATGGAATTGAACCAAATATGGCACACAGAACTCCCACGATGAACAGAAAATATATATCAGTGATTGGGGGGGGGGGGGGAGCACCAAAATACTGTTTGCTTACCATTGAAAACTACCTAGGGCCACCTCTGAGTTTAATCCTATTGGATGTGATAATCCATATGATGTTGCTGATCTGGGTAATATAATCTTTACAGATTACCGGATATGACAACACTAGGAATGCTTGCGGCAAAATTCATATAAAAGACACTCATATGGATTAGCCCATTCAGTTGGACTACAAAGCAATGGGGGTGGGGACAAAGGAAGAAAAAACACAGAAAACAGAACCAAGAAAAATCAGGCCTGGTGGGTTTGGCACTAACAAGCAAGAAGCAATGCAAATATTGGAAAGGTGTTTTTCAATAATCCACTTACTTGCTCCAAATGTGCTACTTTTAAATAGAATTTGAAAGGTGTATGATGCTGACTGCAATACTATGTGGAATTTCCATCTTTCTGCTTTAATGAATTATAAGCTCTTGCTTCCCTAGGCTGTCAGAAGCTCTTTTCAAGCAAACAGAGGTGAAGTGACAAAAGTAATCTAGTAGCTCATATACGGGCATTGCTTTGGCTGATTCCTGCTCCCCCATGCCATCAAAGACCTGAAGGAAAATAACTGTGATGAGCAAAGAGAAGTTGCTTGATCCCACCTGGGAAGCTAGTGCACAAAAGGACTCCCCACATGGAGACACATGCCAAAGCATGGCGACACATATTTTCAAAGCCATCTCCAGATGAAGTGCTGAAATAGATTAAGAGTCCATCCAGCCTGGTGTCCCAGCAGGGCTATAACCACCCACCAAGTTTGGTTTGTGTGCCACAAAGAAAGAACAGATGCATTTTAGAAAGCTCCAGATAGTCACACAGATTGATCAACAGTTCATATACAAAGTATGAAACTGTCTGGAAAAAGCCAGAAACGGTGGAGCAAAACTGAGCTGGAAAGTATTTAATACCCACCCATATTGTTATTATTTTCTAGCAAAATAATAATGAATCATTGCCAAAATTACATAATGTAACTGGTCATTTGCTGTCTTGAATAGCTAGGTAGTATATCCCATTATAATTCATGCTACAAATTGCTTTCAGGAGTTTGTTTTGGTATAGTAATGTTCACCAAGTAAAACTGAGATGTTTCCATGCTGACAAAGTCTGTGAGAAGATAATGGTCATTAGCGTTGTCAGGAGTTCATTTGGGCATACTGCATAAGGAATATTTTCACATCTGTTCTGTTAACTTTTAATAACTTCTGAAGTACACCGAATCTGGGTGTGATTCAACACAATGTGTCAAAATGTTCATGCTTGTACAACACGAATTTACATATATGTATGCAAGATGTTTCTGATGTCAAAGTTTACTGTTATCTCATAGAGATTATTATGTAGAATAATGAACACCTCTAAAAATGTGTCTATTCCACTCTCTGCATTGACCACAGACTTTGGAATCGTGCGCTGTAATAGTCTCCTTCCCATGGCAATTCTATTGCTAACAGAAAAAACTGGGGATTAGAGAAGCATCTGGTAATATTCCATAGCCAGACACACCAATAATGCCATCTACTGAGATCTCTGTTTTCCAGCAGAAGATGTCTTTCTTAATCTGTATCTGGCTATAGCAGGCATGGGTAAACTACAGCCCATGGGCTGGATGCAGCCTGCTGGGCTCTCTCCTCTGGCCTGGAACTTTGGGCAGCCACATGTCAGACCCTCCTCTCCTCAAGGAGACACAGAGGGCTGTCATGTCCTCCTGCTGAGAGGAAGGTCCTACAGTCACACACAGCTGCTCAGAGCTCTCCTGAGAGCTTGGGGCAGCCACGTGAGAGACACTTGCACTCTTTGGCAGAGAAGGCAAAAGACCTTGACAAACTACAACTCCCAGAACTTCATAGCCTTGAGCCATGGCAGTTAAAGTGGGGGTCAAGTACATGAATTCACCTCCCTCTGCACCAACCGCCACTATTCAACACCCCCCAGCACGTGCCTCCCTCCCTCCTGGCTCGGCCCCTTTGCAAATGTTTAAAATGCAATGCGGTCCCAATGTGAAAAGGTTTGCCCATGTCTGGGTTATAAGGACATAGATGCTTCTGTGATGGTGAGGGCCATCACAGTAACTCCTAGGAGTGGTAACAAGGGTGCTGTGATAGAGACTTGCTTCCAGAGGTCTTTATAATCCTCTGAACTAGCTGAGATCTTGGCCTGTGCTTGTATCTGTGTGTTGCAACAGACATGGACATGAAACCTTCTGGGACCTGATGTTGATAGTTATTGGCTTAATTCTTTCTTTCTTTCTTCAGTTCAATATAGCTTTCATAACTACCAGCTCTACCACTGTGATTAGTATCACCCACAATAGGACTGAAGACTACAGAGAGATAGTTTTGTCATTGTCCCGTTCTTTCAAAGGGAGGGGCCAAAATGTGCTACAACATATGTTTCAGTGAGAGAATCCTAATGCAATTTTTAAAATGTATGTGTGTTTGTATATGTGTATATGTATTAGACTGACAAATATTCTGCTTTGAGTGCTTCAAATCCATAGAACTCAGCAACTCTGGAAGGTTATATGAATATTACGATGCTCACAACCAAAAAAAAGTTGATGTGCTTTGTCTTGTAGACATGACTGCTTTTCAATAAGAGAAAGACTAATGCTATATTAGGTTGCTTGGATATGTTCTACAACACATGGTAGTTTGCTTCTGCCAGCTAGTAATTCTTGCAGTCCTCTTATTGTTATAATAACGGTGCATCTCTTGTGGACATAAATACAGAAATCATGTTCAGATGTTATTCCTCCTGTTCTGCACTCTTTTCGATGTATGAGCAGGGGGGATGCTTGTCTTGCCTGCATCATCATTGCTTTTCTGAAGCAGAACACAGCATGTCTGAAGAAGAGATTCTTGTTGGCATGGATGTTCTTCTTATTAGCAAGGGCCCTGCAAATTCAAGGACTTTCCAGGGCTCTTGCCAACATGGACTTATCCTTATATGCACCCCTTTACAAGTGAGGAAAAAATAATGGAGATTGCTGGGCTAGGCACTCCCCTTGCTCCCATGTTCAGGAAAGTACAGTATGTAACACTTGCCTTGAAAAGGAATCATTTAAATTCATGGGTCAGGTTTATGTTGAAGTGCCTTTTGGGCAGATTTAATGACTGTTTTAACTTGTGTACTGATGAGTATCCCATGATTTCTTGGTCATATGATGAAAGTCCACAGAAGGCAAGTGAATGCATTTGTCCAGGGCTAGGGAGCTAGTGGCCCACCAGATGCTGTTAGTTTCCTGCAGACTGCACTTTGCCTACCCTAATCTACAGCCTCATCACACTAGAGCATGAGCCCCCGATGGCACAATGGGTTAAACCCTTGTGCCAGCCAGACTGGCACAAGGGGAGTGGGGTGAGCTCCCATCTGTCAGCTCCAGCTTTTCATGTGGGGACATGAGACAAGCCTCCCACAGGATGGAAAAACAGCCAGGCATCTCCTGGGCAATGTCCTTGCAGATGGTCAGTTCTCTCACACCAGAAGTGACCTGCAGTTCCTTAAGTTGCTCCTGACAAAAAAAACAAAAAACAAAACAAACAAACAAACAAAAAAACCACTAGAGCATGAATCCACCTTAAATCCGGCTTCTGCTTCCTGAAGAATTCTGGGGTTTGTAGTTTAGTGAGGGCCAGGATCTCTCTGACTGAGCATTTTAAAGGCCCGTCCCTAAATTACAAGTCCCAGAATTCTGCAGGAGACAGAAACTGAATTTAAAGTCTAATCATGCTCTAGTTTGATGAGGTCCTAGCTTCAGGTTTGAGAGGGCTCCATACAAAAGACTCATGCATGGCAACCCCTGGCATACTTATCTTGGTGGCTATCATAAGGAGCACTGTTGAACAGCTGGGACTAGTCACCATTAAAACATTCTTCAGCACTCTGACATGACATGAGGAGACAAATGAGGGACAATTTAAATTTCCCACAGTAACCCAGAATGATATCACGATAGGAACATTGTTGAAGACTAAAATCATAGCTACATCTACTTGGCCAGTACTAGACCAGACCAGTAAGAAACTAGGTGAAGATGGACACAGGCATCAGTTTTGCTCAAGTTGTAGCTTTGGCAGGAATGCCAGTTGGCTGATGCCCATCCAGACTTTCAAACAGTCCCAAAAGCTCCTAGTCTTCACAGTAATGGCCTTGCTGACTAGGGAATTTGAAATTGATATCTACAGTATAATTGCATGTAGTTTGGACCATGGAAATGTAGGAAAAGTGTGTTTAGAATGGTGAATTCACACAAGTCTTAGGTACAAAATGCTTTATTTTTTTAGTGAGATTCTATTCACTGTGGTGCCCTCGCTGAATCAGGAAAACAATGAGGCTTCTTGGGGATTTGGCAACCCTTTAGTTCTTGTGGGAGGGGGAGATTGCATACATTGTCTTCACAGAAATGCTTATAACTTCCTGTTAAGTGATGGTAAAACCAAATTCTTTAAATGTTTTGAGAAACATTCTATACAGATACAAAAGTTTAATATGCTACTGTTTTGTTGCAGCAAATTGTGCCATGTTTACACTGGGCAGGTTTCTCCATTGTATATCTGCCCTGAAGTAGCCCTTGATCCAGGAGGTATGTATTGAATCCAGGACTGTGAATCCAAACTGTCCAGATGGGTCAGGACTATGTTTGCTCTTCTGGGACATCACCTCATCATCAATGTTGCTGCCACCTCTTCCCACTGGATATGAAGCTCTATGCAAGCTCTTGGTCATCACAATCATGTCTGCTGATGTCAGAACTGGTTTCCTGCATGATTAGTGAAGAAGGTGATAGATTAGCCCGCTCCTTCTTGCTGGTCAGGTGGATGCCCTGTTCTGATATCAGCAGACATACCTGCGATGGCCAGGGGCTTTCATGCAGCTAGAAGCAATGACAGCAGCACAGCAATAGTCCACCTCCTTTCCCTAATGTGCACAGGGAAAGAGTGATGGCAGTGATATCTGTC